TCGATTCGTATTCGTTTCGTATTTGTTTCGTATTGTTTCGTAATTTTACGAAATTTCGTAAATATCGAACTTTTTTAAAGAAAAATTTCGGAATTCTTTTAAATATCGAAACGCAAAAAACCCCAAAAAACGAATCGAGTTTAGAAACAAATTTTTCCATGGTTGCCCAGCCCTAATTATTCAACATTATGGCAAAATTTTATTGCAAGAAACAGTACAAACTCCATAGATAAGAAAAGCCTAAAAAGGGCTCCCTTTCGGCCGTCACCACTCCCAGCTCCTTCAGAGTCAAGCCAGTCACTTCAAGGATACCCAGCATCTATCTTGCCTTTGGTAGGACCCTCTTCCTTTTTCCATTTTCCCCAGCATCATTGTCTTCTCCAAGCTTTCCTATCTTCTCATTTTGTGGCCAAAGTACTTCATCTTTGCTTTTAATATCTTTCCCTCCAATGAGCAGTCGGGCTTTATTTCCTGAAGTATGGACTGGTTGGATTTTCTTGCAGTCCAAGGCATTCTCTGAATTTTTCTGCAACACCACAATGTAAAAGCATAAGGAAGACTTCACTCAGTCTTCCTTACGGTCCAGCTCTCACATCCGTAGGTTACTACGGGGAATACCATTGCTTTAACTATGAGGATCTTTGTTGCCAATGAGATGTCTCTACTCTTCACTATTTTATTGAGATTGGTCATTGCTCTCCTCCCAATAAGTAAATGTCTTCTGGCTCATTAAAATAAAATGTCTACTGGCTCATTAAAATATTTGCCACTTGGCTATGTATCTATTCAGCTAAAACCACAAGGACCTTCTTAACAGCCCATTCTGTTCCATGACTGTGCTTACGAACCCACATGATCTCTTCAATCTTCCGGAGAGGCCCTCCTCTTGCTCCCGCCTCCATCGCAAAAGCAACTGGTGGGGACGAGAGAGAAGGTCTTCTCTGTAGTGGCCCCTTGGCTCTGGAATTCGCTCCCCAGAGATATTAGGCAAGCCCCCTGTAATAAGAATGAGGGACACAGGGGATGTGTAATGGTAGGTTTGCTGCCACCACCCCAAATGACAGTTTGGGGAATTGTCTTGTCATTGTACTTGAGGTAAAATGTCCCTATACACGGGTTCTTCCTTTCAGCTCCCGTTATTGTGACTGAACTGTGGAGATGTGGAGGCTGACTAGATATAACTTTTTATGATAAAACAAGGCTGAGGCAGATTAACGGTAAACTAGAGAACAGGTTTATTGAAATATTTGAAGCAGACAACTCATTACTGAGAGGTACAACGTAGTTTGTTTCTGAAGCACAGACTTATCAAGCAAATGGTTTCTTTAGAAGGAGTAACTTTTTCTTAACGTGAGCTACTTTCCTCACACTATCCTATAACATGTAACAGTGTGTTTCTTGGACCAGCCACCCTTGGCTGCCTTCCTAGAGTATCTAGGTTTTCCCTGGACTACTCTAAACTTTAGGGAAATAAACCCACTTGTATTCTATCCCAATATAAGCAAACAAGTCTTCACCTTGACTGCCCTAGTCAAACTACACAGAAGCCCTTGCTCTTTATTTATTCCCCAACAGTCTAATTCCTAGCTCACTCAGAAACTCTCTTCTCCCTGTCTGAAATCCTAATCTCCTCTCCCTCAGATCAAATCCTTCTCTCTCCCTTCTGTCAGAAAAGACAGCTCCTTTTCACTCTCCTTCAACTCCTCCCCTTGGGGTCTGAACCAATCAGGAGTTAGCTGACTCCTCCCCTTGCCTCTCTGCCTATACCAACATGTCAGCTATCCTGAGCTGCCTTCCCAACATGGAGGCCAGCTCACTGACTTCCAGGCTGCGGCCTCCGAAGCAAATGAGTTCATTACACCCCCACTCTGGCAATCTTCAGGAAGAGCCTGAAAACTTGGCTATTCCAATGTGCCTTCAATGATTGATTGCATGATAATCTCTAACCCAGGTTCTGGCCCAAAATACTTGTCTGACTGCATCTCGGCCTATGAGCCCACGAGGACTTTGAGATCGTCCGGGGAGGCCCTGCTCTTGATCCCGCCTGCCTCACAGGCACGCCTGGCGGGGACGAGAGACAGGGCCTTCTTCGTGGTGGCTCCTCGGCTGTGGAACACCCTTCCCGTGGACATCAGACTGGCGCCCTCCCTTATGACATTCCACAAGAGACTAAAGATGTGGCTGTTCGAGAAGGTGTTCGAACAAGTGGTGCAATAATAGGCAATAACGATAAGAACGGAACAACGGAAAACGATACTGGATTGTGGTTCAACGATGAGACGACGCGAATGACTTTTTTGTATTTGTATTATTGATATTGTGATTGTTGACGTTGTTGATGATGATGTTTTGATGTTGCTAGTTGTTGTTAGATTATGTCTTGTAATTTTTACTTTGCTTATAAATTGCACCTTATTTTTTACATGTTGTTTACATTTTTTACATGTGAGTCGCCCCTGGGCTGAGAACAGCGGTCTATAAGCACAGTAAATAAATAAATAAATAACCAAACTCTGCATAAAATGCCTCAGTAGCACTTTATTCTCTTGTTGTGCAATTAAATCCTACCTCATCCCCCAGAGCCCCTCCCTGATATTTTACACTGCCCTATCTCCCAGTGTTTTAAAATTTTAATCCTTGAATTTGGCCCTGCCCATGGTGATTATTTTTAATGTCGTAATGAAATGTCGTAATGTTTTGACTATTGATTGTTGTATCGTTTATATACATTGGTTTTGTATTTTAGGTTATTTTATTTTTTGATTTTCCAGTATGTTTTTGTGTTATATTGTGTATATTGTATTGATGGGCGTGGCCTCATGTAAGCTACCCCGAGTTCCCTTGGCGAGATGGTGGCGGGGTATAAATAAAGTTTTTATATTATTATTATTATTATTATTATTATTATTATTATTATTATTATTGCCTTCTACTCCTTCAGTGGGCAAGAGAAGTGGCCAAAACAGAATTCTGCAGTGTGCAAACACTTCTTGGGTTGATTTGTTTTATATACCTACACCTGAGAATAAAGAAACATTATTTATTTATTTATTTATTTATTATTTAAACTTATATGCCGCCACTCCCCTGGGGCTCGGAGCGGCTTACAAGAATAGCTAAAATCTAACAAAGTTTAAAAGCAATTTAAAACAATTTAAAAACAACAGTATCAAACATTAAAAGCCTGTCGGAACAGGTATGTCTTACATGCCCTGCGGAAAGCTGGTAAGTCCCGCAGGGCACGAACTTCAGGTGGCAGAGCATTCCAGACTGATGGCGCCACTGCTGTGAAGGCTCTGCGTCTGGTTGCCGTTAGACGCAAGGTCTTGACACTGGGGACTTCCAATAGATCTTGGTCCTCAGAACGGAGGGATCTCGGGTTGGTAGGGGGTGAGACGATCCCTCAGATACATTGGCCCCAGACCATGCAAGGCCTTAAAGGTGAGTACCATCACTTTGAAAGTGATCCGGTGCTCAATTGGTAACCAATGCTGGTGTAGTAAGATTGGTGTTATGTGGCATCTCATCGGAATTCCCGCAAGAAGCCGAGCAGCTGCGTTTTGTACCAACTTGAGCTTCCGAATCACCGACAGAGGGAGGCCAATGTAGAGGGCGTTACAGTAGTCCAGTCTTGAGATGACCGTGGCCTGGATCACCGTAGCTAGGTCGTCCCTGGACAGGGAGGGGGCCAGCCGTCTAGCCTGCCGCAGATGAAAAAAGGCGGTTCTGCTCACGGCGGAGACCTGGGCCTCCATTGTCAGCAGAGGGTCCAAAAGGACTCCCAGACTCTTTACCAATGATGACGGGCGTAACGCCTCGCCATCCAGGGTGGGCAGATGGATGTCCCCACTGCCCGGTCCACCCAGCCATAGGATCTCCGTCTTTGCTGGATTCACCCTCAACCTGCATCTTCAGCACCAGCTGAGTGTCATCGGCATACTGATAACACTCAAGCCCAAAACCTCGAACCAGCTGAGCAAGTGGCTGCATATAGATGTTAAACAACAGAGGGGAGAGAATGGCCCCCTGAGGAACCCCACAAGATAGAGGGGACCTCTCAGAGACCAGGCCTCCCCTCTCCACTCGCTGTCCACGGTTGTGAAGAAAGGAGGACAGCCAGTTTAATGCTGTCCCCCTGACTCCAGCAACAGCAAGGCGGTGAAGCAGGCAGTGGTTGATCTTATTTTAATTTGCTCTTGAGACCTACATCTGTTAGCAGTTCCAGAAGGTCTTGGGTTCAAAGGTAGTTACCATCTGTGTTCTCTTGAAAACAATTTAACCATCACCTGCCACTGCACTACAAATAAGAAACATAAAACAAACACTTCCAATTGAATAATAAAATGCTAGTCATTCAGAAAGTTCACAGTTGTCTAATATATCGACATTTTTCCCCTTTCCCTTCCTTTAGTAATACCTTCGAAGGGATATGGAATTAATTAAAAGGAGGAAAATCCTGACAAGATAAAGGAGGGCAAAGAAAAATTATGTTACTTATAATTTTTTGTACTCCTTGCAGGCTGGATATAAGGGCATGGCCTCTTAACAGGCTGGAATCTAAAAATAGAGATATTATTAGCATGGGGTCTGTTGAAAATCGCTACCAGTTTGAACCCAGGGCTGTTGAACTATACAATCAATTTGCTTAATGAGTCTGCCAGGCCAGGAAGTGTGCTTATTGTACACACTTAATTGGGCCATTTGAAGATAGCAAAGTAGGGCTATTGTGTCAGACTCAATACTAATGGGACATTGCCCAATTAGCAGAATGACCCCACTTGATATCCTGCATCATATCAAAATACTTCTTTTTCAGTTTTCATTTCTACTGGCAGTGATGGGTGCTCCAGCTCCCACATATGTAGGCATTTAGCACCTCCTGGGCAACTGGAGTCTAAGCCAGTTAGGACAAATATGACTCCTACCTCAACTTGGGGGGCTTTGGTTTGTATCTTTTGTCAAGCTGACTTGGCTGACATGCACGTTGGTCTGTTTTACAGATATCCTGACAAAGGCTTTGATGATAATTATTGCCGCAATCCGGATGGTAAGCCAAGGCCGTGGTGTTATACTCTTGACCCCAATACCCCATGGGAGTATTGCAACATTAAACCATGTGGTAAGTTGAACACAAATTTCTTCTGGAGTTTTTTTTTTTTTTGCTTTTCTGTGTTCTCATATCTAGATGCCAATGATCTCTCTGTGGGATGGCACCTTATAACCCCTTTTGGACATGGCTCACATTGTTTCCAGCATGGCTTCCTTCTCATGTTCTCATACTTGATGTTTTCCCCCATTTCTGGTTTTTTTCATATGTCATCATCATCATCATCATCATCATCATCATCATCATTATCATATTTAATTACTTATTAATCGCCCTCCATGAGAATGCTCTAGGCGATTTACAGCTAAATTGTAAAAGATAAAATACATACATACAAAAATTAAAAATTAACAGAGATCGAATGCTCTAGTAAAAAGCCAGGTCTTAAGTGCGAGTAAAAGGCCCTAAGTCACGCATGGCTCTCATATAGGGCGGCAAGGAATTCCACAAGGCAGGGGCAGAAATAGAGAAAGCCCTGCATCTGGTCCTTTCCAAGTGCACTTCTCTAGGACCCGGTATATGGAGTAAGTCACGTTGGGCTGGTCGTTGCAACCTCCGATGATGGGAGAAGGAGAGGCGGTCCCTAAGGTACGATGGACCCTGGCCGTAAAGAATTTTAAAGGTCAGAACTAACATCTTATACAGGCCACGGTACTCAGTTGGAAGCCAATGTAAATGTTGCAGCACTGGTGTTATATGGCATTTCATGGGCGTTCTTGTGAGTAACCTGGCTGCCGCATTCTGAACAATATGAAGCTTTATATGATTGCCAAAGAGTGATTGTATTACTAAATACCATTGAATGGCTCCCACCACCACAGCCCTCCATGGGTATCTGCTGATAGAATAATAGAATAATAGAGTTGGAAGACACCACATGGGCCATCTAGCCCAATCCCCTGTCATGCAGGAAAAGCACCATCAAAGTACCCCTGACAGGTGGCCATTCAGCCTCTTCTTAAAAGGCCCCAAAAAGGAGCTTCCACCACATGCTGAGGCAGCAAGTTCCACTGTTGAACAGCTCTTATAGTCAGGAAGTTCTTCCTAATGTTCAATTGGTATCTCTTTTCCTGTAATACAACATAATACTACTACTAATAAATATAATAATATACAATGATGTAATACAGTAATACTAATATATTAAATATAATACTACTGATAATATATAATATATTATGATATACTTTTTGTGATGGCACGCCGGGAATGGAAAGAAAACTATACATTTCCAGCTATATTCCCAGTGACCATCGGTATGCCCTATATGTACTTTAATTCCCCAAAATAAGACTCTGGAGACGAGACTAAATTTAACCAATTAAGTTTACTGAAACAATCAAGGTGAATCAAAACAAGGTATTACAAAGGCGCAGTTTGATTACTGAATGATATAGAATTAGAATAGTGAAGTACTGATATGAAGTATAAACTCTGAGGTAAGTATAGATATCAGGAGACCATGAGGTATAATGATGGTATGTGCTCTGAGGTAAAAAACAAAACTATATTCTATGAGGTAAGTACTCTCTATGATGGTACAGCTCTCATCTATGGGGCAAGTACATCTATGTTCTTTGAGGCATGTACTGCTCTGATCTTTTAGGCAAATACAATAATCTTTGGCAAGTACATCTATGTTCTGATCTATGGGGCAAATACTCCCTCTATCAGCTCCAGCTCCTCATGCGGGGACATGAGAGAAGCCTCCCACAAGGATGATAAAAATATCAAAAATCATCCAGGCGTCCCCTGGGCAACGTCCTTGCAGACGGCCAATTCTCTCACACCAGGAGTCACTGACACGACAAAAAAAAAAAAAAAGGAATATGTATTCCAGCCCCTGGTAATAATGCAGTGACTAATTGTTTATCACATGTGTAGGTATATTCTGTTTGTGTGATATGTATGGATAATGCTACTATTCAGATTTCATGGGTGGGACTTGTTTGGCTTTTATTTGAGATACATTGCAGGGTATATTCTTTGCTGATACCTGACAAGTCTAGAAAATGCCTAAATTTTATCTAAAGTGGATTACCGGTGACTCTGCATATCCATATAGTCTACCATCCATGGCTTGAAAAAATGCCAACAAATAATATTCCAAAAAACAAAACAAAAAACCCTCAATTTTTCCATTTTGAATAAGGCACATCATCTGACTGTTCCATTGTATAGAATGGGATGGATTCTGGTGTTCTATGGATTTTGGTTTCCATGGCAGAAGTTGGTGTCCTAGAACCAAACCTCCTCCCAATACCAAGAGCCCATTTTTTTTCTGGAAGCCAAGGTGTTGCTTGTCTTCAGAGTGAAGAATCTTCAAAAAGGCCTAGGGTGCTTCTGAGTTTATAGTAGCCAAATCAGAAAGTGAATCTACTAAATCAATGCTTTTCAATTTTGTTGATTTCAGGGTTTATTATGTATATAGTTGCTAGCTGTCCCCTGCCATGCATTGCTGTGACCCAGTCTGTGTATATGTGTTTTGTGTGCATATATATGTGTATATTTGTATGTATGTGGTTTTGTGCATGCATTGTAATGTATTTTTTTCTTTTTAAGTCCCTTCCACTGTGTTTTTCAGTGTTTTTAATGAGTGATGGTCACTCGTTGGCCTGATAGGTGTATTGTGTCCAAATTTGGTGTCAATTCGTCCAGTGTTTTTGAGTTATGTTAACTAGGCTTGGGTAACCATGGAAAAATTTGGTTCTAAACTCGTTTTGTTTTTAGGGGGCCCTTGCGTTTCGTTTTTTTTAATAATTCCGAAATTTTCCTTTAAAAAATTTCAAAATTTACGAAATTTCGTAAAATTACTAATCAATTCGTTAATGGCAGACGAGATTGCGCAATATGCTAAAAAAAAAAAACCTCCAAATGGGACAGGAGGAACTTCTGAAGCTTCCCTCTCCCTCTGCTGTTGACTGTTGGTGTGATAAAACAAACAACAACTATAAAACTTGCACCAGACATGCGAAAATAATTACGAAATAATTACGAAATAAATTGAAAAAATTGTTTCGAATCTTTATTACTCCTCACACAATTCCTGCATGGCTCAATATTGGATCGTAAGCTAATTTAAATACGAATTAATAACGAATTACAAAATTAACGAACGAAACTGCCCAAGCCTAATGTCAACCCCACAACCAAACATAACATTTCATTTATATAGATTAAAATACTGTATTTATGCCACATTATATCACAAAATCTCTGCTCAGCATTAAGTAATTTAAAATTTAAAACAATAAAAAGTAATTCAGATACTCTAACTACTGGATAATTCAAAAATGTTTCCAAGGTTTAAATATTTTTAAACAGAATGTTAAAAGTTAAAACAGTCTATAATAGTGATTTTTTTAAAGTTTGTATAAAATCATTTGTCTCCAAATTTTTAAAATAATACCTAAGCTTGGCCCTCGAATGAAACCAAGACTGGTGGAAGTTGTTCCTACAAGAGGTAGGATTCCATAATCCAAGTATCTGCATTGCTATTAAGTGTAGGGCTTCTTTGGGGTTAATACATGGTCAGCAAACCCTGTCTTACCCTCACACTGTTTATGGAGTACAGGCAATATGTGGTAAAATAGGTTAGCCTAGCCAAAACTACTTAAGGTGGCAAAAATCAGAGAAACAACTATTACATGGTCTGTTTAGCAGCTCTCATTTTTATGTTAGCAGTTAATATGTTGAACAGGACATAAATACCTCTCCTGAGGATGCAAACATCTGGTGCCTTTATTGCTGTCTGGACTTTATGCTACCTAACTTCTAAACCTAATTGATCAAAGACTCAAATTTGTTCACTTGACACATATGAAATATTTTTATCCTGCCCTTCTCTGACGGGATCCTGGAATGAGTGGCTAAATGTAATCCCATTGGCTTTTAAGAAAGCTTTCCCCTTTCTTTGAACTTAATTGCTCATAAATCTGAGTCAAAAAACAGTAAAATGAATGATAAATAAAGGTTTGGCATATTGAATCAGTGTGCCTACAAATAAAACTATCTGTTGAGAAATACTTGTGCCAAAATTCACTGGTAGTAGTAGCTAGCAGGAGTAATACTATTTCCATGATTATCACCAATAATTACTTAAATGTTTGTTTTAAAATTATAATATACAGTAAAGAAATGCACTGATTATCACTGGACAACACATTTTGGTGATTCAAATGTTAGACCTATTTCTGGGTATATTTGACCCGTTGATTTTTAAAATGGCAATAGTTTCCCCTTAGCTGAGACACGGAATATCTGCCATATTTCAGTATTTATCTGCTCACCCATAGAAAATCATGATATACATATCTAAAACTAGAGTGGTTGTGGTCTATCCAATGCAATTTTCTGAATCAGTGCGCAAATAACCCCAGGAATAGGTCTAAAAAAACAAAATACCAAGAAATTTGTTTTGGTTGGGCTGTGTTATTGAAGCTGCTTGGTCTTGCTTTTAAATCTTCTCTCTCTTAATTGTTAACAAAAAAAAATCAATGACAACAATACCAAAACATACACCAGTTGGCCTTAAGGTTAGCCAGATACAACTTCCTTATTGCAGTTGCTCCACTGGCTAATGGTCTCTTTCTGAGCACAATAAAAACATTGATTTATCATCTATAAAGCCCTTAACAGCGCAGACCCAGGTTGTCTGGAGGAATGAACCTATTTCAGGGAGGATCTCCTCTCTATCTCACCATCTTCACAGACATATATTTTTTCAGTCTTTGAAATTGTCTCTCTCTTGCTTCCTCCTTGCTGTCCTTGTGTTGAAAAATGAAAACAAATATTTTGAACTGACCATAAGGGCTTTTAACAATTTACATTTCTACCAACTTTGTCTGGGATTCTATGTAATCTACTGAATTGTAATCTAGAGTTGCAGATCCATAATTGCTCCATATTCAGTAACCATGAGTAGCCATGCTCAAGATGTTATTGTCATGATCATAAACTCCCTTCTAAGCCTACTTTATCTAAGCTGGGGGGGGGGGAGCCACACCGATGAC